TTCTTTAATTGAAACTTTCTCGAGTTCAACGTTTGTATCCAAAACTTTAACGAAACGATAACATCTTCATGGAAAATCTCCTCCTCTTGTTGTATTTGTTGGAAGTCTGATTGATTGGATTCCTTTAATTGATATTCATTAATAATCGGTAGAAGAAATAATCTCATAAGCAAATTACTCACATCAAATTGTGGTGAGAGAAATAATACAATGAGTAAGCCACCTAGGACAGTTTCATCAAATTCACATTCTGCTTTTATATCTCATAGTCATTGTCCTATAATGAAATCTCCCACAAGCATATCTCTCTTATCAATATCTTGAGTTGTCAATTGTTGTTGCCTCATGATAAAATCACATACAAATATTTTATTGAAATCAACCACAGTCATTTTTTATCCTGCTATTTTTGTTCTCTTATATATCCTGAAAAAGATAAAGAAAAAAATAAAATAAAATAATAAAATGGAACGAAAATGATAATACAAAAATACAGGTAGAAGTCCGAATTAGTGTCAAGGTAAATAAAAAGAAATAAAAAAATCAAATAACAGTTAAAAATAAAATAAACTAAAACTAAAAGTAAATAGTCCTCGGCAGCAAAGCCAAAAATTTGTTGCATTTTTTATATCACAAGTGTACGATATCGTAACAAGTAGTATAGTGGACCCTTGAGTCAGGATATCGTTCCCACTAAAACTATATTTTAGGATTTAATCTAATTTTTCTTAACTTCTATTTGACAAAAGTAAGTAAATATTTATGATGATTGTGTTTATTTTTTTTCCTAACTACTTTTGACTAATTGAAAATATAAAATGATTGCAAACAATTGCTAATTGAGTAAACAAATATGTGATGAATATTAGAGCATAACAATATCATCTATTGATCACATTTATTATTAATTCAAGATTCATAATCTATTATAGTGTTCGATCGAATTTTTCTATTGTATTCAATTTATCCCTCTTGAGTTCTCATTAAACCTATTTAACTAATTCAATTCCATATCTTTATGTGAATCAACTTTAGTTAAACGAAACACTAGTTCTAAAAATTCATATTATGATCGCAATAATTAGTATATGTATCTATACACGTTATACTAATTTACCGAAT